AGAAATTAAAAATCATTGACGTGAAAAGTACAAGAGTGATGTTACATTTGTAATGTAAATGATTTTAATGTAAATAAGTGTTACTAGAAATTTTATATATTATCGTATCTCAATGTGAGCAAATTATCTTCAATGTCGGGGGAGTAGGTCTCACACTTTTTATTAATACATCGAAACAACGTTCTCTATTAAAAATGTCAGATTTGGATATTGTTCAGTTGACTGATCAAAATCTGATTTCAATGCCTAATAATATTCTCTATACATCAAAGAGAAAGTAAACAAATTCTTTGTACGTCAATGAAATGGAAAGAAATTTTGAAAAAGAAAAAAAAAAGGAAAGAAAATAGAAACAAACAGTAAAAGCAAAAGAGAAAAGAGTGAAAAAGCCGGTGAATCGATCCATCCTAAATCCATCTAGCACAAGAGATTCCACGCTCAATAGCTAGCTCGTATCCCGGCGCATGTTCTACTGGCACACTTGCCAGCGTGCCAAGGTCGTAGGGGGTTCGTGCCCCGAATATCACGATCCACGGCCGTGCCTCTGCTTTTTCTGCTGCGCGTCGCGTCGCGTGCAACCCGAACGAAAAGAGGAAGAGGCGAGCCAGAGTGGACGACGAGATTATTCGGCCTCGGTGGGAAAGAAAGAAAGAGAGAAACAAGAGAAAACGCGCCGGCCGGCGGTCGATTCGCGCGTCAAGACGAGGCGCGATCTTCATTCTGCGAGGCTGGCCCCAAGCGGACAGGCGAAACAAAAGAGCGAGCAGGGAAGAAGAGAGGAAGAAGGATCGAGCTATCTCACACGTACGTGCACGCGTGTTTAATAGTGAAACAATCAGTCCGTGTGGTTTTTAATACTCGTGCTCACTACGTGTATATTTAAATATAGATTCGATCGTATTACGTTCAACCATAGAGATTGAGATAGAGGAATCCTTGGACGAAAAGATAAGCGTGGTTGATAAATATGTATGTTTCAACATCGTGACTTGAAAGATACATGCTCGTATTTTACAAAACTGAATCGAATGCACTGCCACAACAATATTAATTAACTATTCGTGATTTGTGATCGTTAACTGTCAGATTTTCAATCGTAGAACTAACTCTTTATAATCAGAATTTCGTTTATTTTATATTTAGGAGCAGAAGGTTTGAAATTGATAATAGAGATAATATAGAATTAACTCTTTGTAACCAGAATTTCATTTAGTTTATATTTAGGAAGAGAAGGTTATCGATAAACTGTAACCATTTGCTTATACAACGTTCTGATTTTTCCATACGTAATTTTCAAATGTCAGGTGAATTCAAGAACAATGCTTCGTTACGTACAAATAAAAATCGTTTGCCTGCAACATATGATAATTCCTAATGATAATTCCTGAACTAGAAGACACTATACTAAACGACGTGTGTAATACTTACAAATAACTAAAAAAAAATGCTAAACGCGTACTACGTAACATTAGAATTACATACCAACAACTAAAACATAAAATTTCCAGTTTAGAGACGTTGTAGACGAAGTAGAAGAGACAGAAAATTTTCACGACACAATACGCTGTATTTGACGAAGAATCACTCGAGTCTCCAAAAATACACTGCTTCGTACTTAACGAAAATATTCGCGCCAATGTTAATGTTATTAATAAAAATATTACAGATAAATAAATATTTGTGCTAATTAAATTTTAGCAAATATATTCGCGCCAGTGTTGATGCTATTAATAAAAATATTGCAAATAAAATAAACGTATATTCACACTAATTAAATTCCAAAACAAAAATATTCAAATGGTCATATGGACCATTTTGGTAGTATCTAAGCCAATGTTGATGTTATTAATAAAAATATTACAAATAAACAAATATTCACACGAATTAAATTCCGAAACAAAAGTATTCAAATGGTCAATATGGACCATTTTGGTAGTTGTGGCGTTAACGCGCGCGTATTTTCCAGTGTCAGTCGAAAATCGCGATCGGTGGATTGAATGGTTCGTAAGGGTTGCTGGAAGGCTCGCAGTTGCGGCGTCTATTTCTGGATTTTAATGAGGGAACGCGTCGAGAAGGGCCGCGGCGAAACAGGACGAGACACCTCGAGGCCCTCGTAATTGTGTCAAACTCCGCGTGGCCTTTTATTGTGACATCCGCTTCTTCTTCTTCCCCGCGCAAATTTTTTAAGCACCCTCCGCTCGGCCACGCTCTCCCAGGTCGCAATCTCTCTCCCGCGCTCTGTTTATTGGCGGTGCTTCTCGGAACCCTATCGTTCGCCTGGCACGTTAGTCCCGATATTTCTTTCACCCTTTCACGTTTCGTTTCGCAGGGAGTTACGTCGGATCGTTTCCGATTCGAATGCAGTAAATTTCAGACACTTCACACGCGCGATACATTTTTTTTCTTTTTTTTTCTTTTTGATACTTTATCTTTCCTTCGAAACGTCAGGTTTGAACAGGCGGACGTTTTCATGCAGATGGTTCGTGTCTGGAATTTAGATTTGGAACCTCGAGAGAGTAAACTGATAATATGCGAGTATACGTAGATTTAAATACTATACTTTGGGTATTTAACTAGATATTTAATGTTACGACTTGATATATTTAAGCAATAGCCGTTTGATTCGTTTTACATTAATGTTTGAATTTGATTGAAACGATGATATCATTTTTGCAGTGATTATGTTTCGAGAATAATCTCCAAGGAAATCTTCTTCTAGATTGAACCAGTCTTTAATTTTTGAACGATCGTTCTGCTCCAATATTTTTGGATTTCTACAAACTATACACTAATTCCTCAATCTCAGGCTATAGATTTTTAAGAAAGAGTTCTGTCTAACTAATTTTTAAATCGACTGATCTAAAATCAGTGAAACCACGTCGCGATAGAAATTGATCAGAAATAATTCTTTCCAAAGGGAGAAAAAAAGAAAACTCTGTCATCACGCCTCAAACTACCACTTTCCATCGATCACTCGTAAATCCCGTGAAACTTGTAAAATTTCAAATCATCGGCTATTATTTATACACGGTGCATAATTTCTAACTCGCTCAAGTTTGGCGAGCACGTCGACGCGAGAAAACGAAAACGACTTGGGTGAAAATGGTGCGTAGCAATGGAACGAGCAAAACCCGGTGAACGGTAGATAGATCCATCCAGTCATCTTCATCGAGGCTAGGCTAGGCGCGTCTCTGTGATTAAAGTGTCCGTTAACGCGAGTTAATTGATCTTTCAGTTAATGCGATAGTGCCCTCCCCATTGCATTTCTGGTTTCCCTATCGACGAGATCCCCCCCACCCTCTCCTCACGGGCGAGAGTAAATCGCACGCGTCCCCGTCCCGCAATCTGCTCGCGCGTCCGCTGAAAGTCGTTTCCCTTTCGATTAGCGTCTCGCCTTCCCGCTCGTTTGATGAACACGGATCAAACGAGCCGTCCATCCGAGCCTCGACGTTCTTTCACGATCGGGATAATTACGGTGATCTCGTTGCGAAGGTGAGTCGAGTCGAGTCGAGTCGAGTCGAGTCCAGTCGAGTCCAGTCGAGTCCAGTCGAGTTGAGTCGAGTTGAGTCGAATCGAGTCGAGTCGAGTTCGTTTCGATATGAATGACACGAAAGACTGCGATTTGCGTGAAGCTTCCTTCAATTTTTTTTTTTTTTTTTTTCGCTCTTCGAGGGACGGAAACGTTCGTTAATGATTCGTTGACGTTCGGTTATGTGTAACTCTGTTGGTTAATCTCGAATCGGAGATTGACGCAGTTTTGGCTAATTTTTTTGAACTGTATTGTATATTCAATCTCGGAACTTTGGCACAGTTCTCGTTAAACTTTCGAGATACGATAGAACTTTGCTACAATTTTTTGCTAAATTTCGACTGTATTGTCTAAGTAGAAAATTGACCGAATCGAATTTATAATTTTTGAAAGAATTCACTAATTTTTCACAAAATGTATAAAAACTTGTGTACTCTATTGTATTACAAAGTTTTTCTGTTTTTCTATTTTAATGTATTTGATAAGAAATCTTATACTTTAATTCGATAGTTGTCTCTGAAATTATTTTGGAACCTTGATTACGGTTTCGATGAAATTTCAATTGTGTTACTCAATTTTGAATTGCAGTAGGAACTTGATTATCATCTGAATGTTGCATTATTTCTACGTTAGATTTTTCTTATGTCGCAGCTAACTATCTGAAATTTCAGTTGAGGAAAAATTGTTCTCCTGTTATTTGGAAATTTTATTATTCAACTGCATTTGTCTATTTATTCGTTACAATTTCATTCCTTTTCCTATTCAAATTCGATTTTTATTCGTTCGTATATTTCCGTACTCTCAAACGTCATGCGAATAAAACTGATTCCGTGTAAAAATGAGCGCGACAATTGAACAGCATATTTATCCGATTATTCATTGAAATTTCCAAAACTTTCCATCAAAGCTGTTCCAACAAAATAGAAAACAAGAATACCACGTAATTAAAAATTAGCCCAAACTGCTTCGAAATCATCTACAATCCATCAAGAACTAACAGATACCAAGAGCAAATATTTCCTCGACAGCTTCAACGACGTGTTTCACACGATCCACAATAAATTTGCACAAGCGTGTCAATTCCTCGCACGAGGATTCATCGTCCAAATTCCCAAGGCTGTTCGACAGCAGCGAACACGCGACGTCTCGTAGATACGTCAGACTTTTTACGTAACACCTATCGACGTAGCAAACACACTCGAGGTAGCTTCGAACCGACACTTTGTAACTGCGACGTTTCCTTCCCTCGAAGCGACGAAAAGAGAAAAAAAAAAAAGAAAAAAAATAAGAAGAAAGTATCATTGGTGAAAGACGAGCCTCTTCCGCGTTACGTGAGTTTCACACGAGGTAGTCACGATCTCTCGAGGCTCGCGTCAGAAGAGACTCGTCAACGACACGTACGTCTCGTCCCCGAGAGACTGATGGCCGCCCAGGGCACAAAAGTCTGTCGAACTTCAGAATTTCAATTTACCTTCACTGGCACGGTAGCATTCCGATCGGGTAATGCCTCTGGTATACTGTTTAAGGGTATCCCCCTTTTCGCGCAGCGAAACGATTCGTACCCGCGAGCCAAACGGACACTGCGGACGAGGAGGACGAGCAAAAGAGGAGGAGGAGGAGGAGGAGGAGGAGGAGGAGGAGGAGGAGAGAAAACCGGAGCTCTCGAGCGGTTCAGCTGGAACAAAACACTCTCACGTAGAGCAACTGTCACTGCCACCGGGGCAGCCGGGTGTCTCGTCCCGTGGGACCGGCGAGACGAACACCTTGCGCCCGATCCTGATCCGATGCGACGTCGCGATGACGATTATCATCGATCATCGATCGATTCCTTTCTCCGCTCGATACTCTCTCTCTCTCTCTCTCTCTCTCTCTCTCTTCCCCTCTCTTTCTCTTTCTCGTCTTATCGTCTTTAAATACTATCGTTCACCGACACTCGATCGCGATTCACAGCTCCTCTGTTCGTCACTTGTCTCCGAGTACTTCGTAGTCACTCCGTAATCACACCACAGCAACGTAGATCTCTCGTTTCTCAACTTTTCGAAAAAGTCATTCACAACTGAAAGAAACTTTTTCTTTTCTTTTCTTTTTTTTCTTTTTTTTCTTTCAAATGAAATTAAGGTATCGGTATCGATCTGACCAGATCGTTCGTTCGTTCGTTCGTTCGTTGTCCCGTTCGTGTGTCGTTTCACGTGTCACCGTGGCTTTCGACGACGATACGTTCTTACGCACGGAACTTACTACCGGTTGGTTAGTTAGGTAATCCCGGAGAGCTGAACGCGCTGGTTTCGTTTGGCTACCACTCCGGCCACGCACCGTTCTCCGCCGAGCGTCGAAGAACTAATAAAAGCTGGGACCCGGGTTGAAACTGCGTAGGCCGCTTACTACTCCTTCCACCGCGGCGTCGTCCTATCCCACCGGACCGGGCCCCGCGAGACAGAGACAGGCAGCAGGGAAGGCACCAACCGACCGACGCATGGACAGACGAACACGCCACGGACGTACAGACGGACGGACGGACGGACGGACGAACGTACCTGACTGCAAGAAGCAACAGACATACGCGGACTTTAACAGGTATACACACGTCGCGGTGCAACCTGGTAGGGTACCCAGTCGGCGCTGATGCTGCTATTACTGCTCGCTGGCTCCTGGCTCTGCACGTTTGTTGCTCGGCTGCCTGCCGCTGCCTGGTGAACGTCACTCGGTCAAGGTCCCCCACCAAAAACCTGCACAACACCGACCGACGGTGATCTTCACGATCCTTGGCACGGTCTGCGCGAGCTCTGTGCGTGTGACTGTTGCCGATTCGATTCGGTCCATGGACAACGCTATACTTGGCGCGAACCGCGCGTTCGCGAGGGTGGCAGCGGGTAGGCTCGCCTCCCGGACTCGATTCACCGAGAGTTGCAGCCGGATGAGCTGGCGAGTTGGCGGGTGAAGGTGAATCGAAGCTGCGCGGAGGATGACTCGATCCACCGGTGGCTCTGATGCGAGAGCGGCCGATTATAGAGCGCGTTAAGGCATCGCGATTGAGACATCGCGGTAGGCGACTCGACTGGAAGCGGCGAGGAGTCGGCGAGTGGACGCGGAATGTGATTTAGAAAGTAGGATTTTTCGTTGCGGAAGATTCGATGGGAATAATATTCAAATGTAGATACACGTCTGTGTGAGTGCATACAGTTTTTCGTAGATTTCAAAGGAGGATTTTTGTTGAGGCTGTTGTAAAAGACAATGTAGAAAATCGATGGAATAATATTTAAATGTAGATACACGTCTGTGTGAATATATAGGGTTTTTTCGTAGATTTTGAAGAGGATTTTTGATGGAGTTGTGTTATGGAAAATAATGTAGAAAATTGATAAAATAATATTTAAATGTAAATACACTATTCTTCTGTATAATAAATTCTTGAATTATATTAACTAATAAACGTCCAATACGTTTGTTATAAAATGATGTATCGAATTTTCATAAAATGACAAATTGCTTCATCACAAGATTTCCTTTAAGACCTCTTTTTAATACTAATGGGCATTATATCATTCGTACATATTACTAATAAATTATTTGATAAATTATTGTAAATTTTAATTATCGATAAATTATTTTTATACAAAATTTACTATTACTTGTGAAATAAAATACCACGCAAGTCCATCTCCAATTATTAATTTCCATCTAGAGCCGAATAATGTTGGAAAATAACTTGATATCGCAGGACGTTCCCCCATAAGCAACTAGTTTTTGTCACTATTACGAGCTAAACGCCTAATAGAAGCGCTGACGAAAGTATTAGCTTATAAGCTTATAAAAGTTACTTCATCGCGCATCGCTCAAACTAACAAGTTATCAACGCTCTAAGCGGCCATATTCCACTTAAGAGGTTCTGAAATGGGAGCATTATTCAAAGCAATGGCTCGTTAACAGTCTTCCAACGGAAGACGATCCAGAGTGCACGCGGATATTCTTCAAAGTGGTTTGTGTATAAATGAACACGTCGAATTGTGCATAGCTGCGTCATATAGTCAACGATCATGAGACAACTTTTGCGTTACATTGCGTTTAAAATATGAAATACGAAGTATGAAATTTAACTTGAATTTCCGGAGTCTATCAGAATAGGAGATCTCAGCGATAATTTGTTAAAATGTATTACTTATTTGGAAAGGAACCAATGTGTTTTATAAATTTACAATTTTCGAAAAATCACCAATTTGTAAAATAAGGGAGATAAGGAAGAGGTCTCAGAATTTTCCCTTGAATCTCGATACGTATCCTTTTCGTACAGTTCAATAATTATTAAAAATCTTTGTCTGCTAAAGACATGAAAATAACTTCTTTTTTTTTTTTTTATAAAAGTCAGTACAGTTCTTTTATATTTCTCATATTTCCTTTTTTTCTTCTTTACCGCTGGAACGTGCGAATGCGTGAATTTTATTGTACCGCGAGAATCGGCGGCAGAATTTATGGCAGCCCTGAAATACAGGTTCAGACTCATCGATCATGAACGAAATCTCTCTATTGCGTGCTAATCGGTCTAAAAGAGACCCGCGTTGCAACTCAGGAACAGCGGGAGTTTTATCTGCTACAGATAAAAAGAATTATGGAAGGTCGTTCCAAGCGCTGAGCAGTCAAAGAAACTAGCCAGGTTGTTCTACAATGACGAGACTTTGATCCGATTGTTTGAAGATTATCAAATATTTGTTCTTATTATTGCCATCGTTTGATTTTATATTTCATTTCCTTCGACTCTTTCTTTCTTTCATTTCTAAACACGCGAAACTGAAATCTTGATTGTAACTATCATCAACGAAATATTAGAAAGCGCAAAAAATGTTTTTGCAACGGTGAGAAATTTTTAGGGAAATTTTAAAATTTACAAAAGAGATTTGTAACTTCCAACTTATCAATTTCATAGTTGATAAATTATTTTGTGCAAGAAACCATGGAAAATGAATATTTATCGCACAAAAGCTTTCTACGAAATCAAACCAAGAATTTCAAGCATCCTTCCACCGAAGGGTATATAAATAAAACTGTTGATACTTTATTCTATCTTCTCTTCAAGCACACGCACAACTATGCTCTGTATCTTTACTGCATTACCGCGAATTTCGGACGAATCCTAAACACTTAAAAAAAAAAAAAAGAAAGAAAAAACAGCGACGCGAAAGCCAAACGCAGAAATTCGTTAGATAACAGAATTATCTTTCGTTATACATCACTTTTATCGCGGGAATCCCTCGTAAACTCGACGAACAAACCGAAACGAAACATTTCCACCGGCGATCACGAGCAGAGCGGGACGCGATAAATTAGCCCGTTTCAAGAACCCGTGGCTCGAAAAATCCATTAGGTCGTCTTCTCCCTCGCTGAAGGAAAGAAGAGAGTTAAAAAAGGGCGATATTTATTTCACGACTTGTCGTCAATCACCCTCTGTTTCACCACTGTCTTCGAGTTTCGCGTTCTTTCGGTATACCGAGTGACATTTGACCCTGTCATCCCCTTGACTGTCATTCTTCCTACCGTTCAATTTATGAGACCACGAGTCTCTTAATCTTTCTACTCTCGGCTCTTGAATTTAATATTTCGTACAGGATTGTAACAATGGAATTGAAATCTACGATAATTCTGGGGGAAAAAGGATTTATGTTTATAATAAATTTTTATAATAAATAATTTTTAAATTTATTATAATAAATTTGCAATAATAAATTTTAATATTATAATATTATAATATTATAATAAATTTACAATAATAAATTTTAATATTATAATATTATAATAAATTATGTTTATAAATATGTTTATATCCATATACACGTGCACATATTTTTCTTTAAATATTTGACATTTACAGATGTACGCAGACATTCGTAATTAATTAATCGTACACGCCAGACACGTATGATACTTTTGAAAAAGATTGATCTATGACTGAAGTTGAGAAAGAAGAAGAAAAGAAATTAATCAGATAAAAAAAGATATAATTACGTAATGTAATTATATATTATAATGTTAATTTTAATATGATGTAATATAGGTAATTAATAATTATAGTTTAATGAAATGACCAAAATCTCTTTCTTTTTCTGTCATAAACATTTATTGATTATTTTGCTCTTCGTTTATTATATACAGAAGTTTAAATGATCTACTTTTATTATTCATATTAAAATTAATATTTACTATCGTATTATATTACACAAGACTTCACCATTTCATCATCGTTACGTGCAAATTATTATCAAATGCTTCTTTTCCAATTTCTATTAACTTAGTATCGTTTCACTTATCGTCACGTTATACGTCTATAATTCTACCTATGATTTATTCCTTTTGTGATTCCCTATTAAGAAGCGGGATTAAAAACTAGAGAAGACGATTCCTCGTTAGGTCTAACAATAGGTCGCAGCTGGGAGGAACGACCTTGAACAGTCAAAACTCCCGACCTCCCGCTATAATGCACGATGTCGAAGCTGATCGAACAACCCCATCCCTTCCCCGGTGGGACTGTATCTCGCTTCCAGTATCTCACTTTCGGTTCGTGTCTGTATCGAAATGCGTTTAGTCACGATTCTGGCAGCCGACAGTCAGTGTGTCGAAACAATTTCAGCAAGTTAAAAGGCTCTCCGCGCAAAGGGCGATAATGAGTTGAGCGTCCTGTAATTAACCACTTGCATCTTCGAGGGCATTGTCATTAAGATTTCCCGCAAACTGTGTCCATCGAACGCAGTGTAATTAAGAAATCGTGTAAAAATTCTCTTTAAATAAAATTCTCTTAAATAAAATCAATCTTTAAATAAAACTCTGTTTTTGAAATTAATAAAAATCCCCTGCATAAGATTAACGGAGAGTAACAATCTCGAATTTTGTATCGTAAAATGAATTTGTCTTTTACGAAAAAAGGTTGATATTGTCAATAAATCACGATAATACTACGCGCCCTCTCCCGATTGTTCCAAAGTGTTTGAACGTGCGCCCTTGGAGATTTTCTTTCTGAAATTAATAAAAATTCCCTACGTAAGATTAACGGAGAGTAACAATCTCGAATTTTGTATCGTAAAATGAATTTGTCTTTTACGAAAAAAGGTTGAAATTGTCAATAAATCACGTTAATACTACACGTCGTCTCTCCCGATTGTTTCAAAGTGTTTGAACGTGCGCCCTTAGAGATTTTCTTTCTGAAATTAATAAAAATTCCCCACGTAAGATTAACGGAGAGTAACAATCTCGAATTTTGTACCGTAAAATAAATTTTATCGTTTACGAAAAAAAGTTAAAATCGTCAAAAATAAATCATGTTAATGCTACGTGTCGTCTCTCCCGGTTGTTCCAAAGTGTTTGAACGTGCGCCTTTAGAGATTTTCTTTCTGAAATTAATAAAAATTCCCCACGTAAAATTAACGGAGAGTAACAATCTCGAATTTTGTACCGTAAAATGAATTTTATCGTTTACGAAAATAAAGTTAAAATCAATAAATCACGACAATACTACGCGCCGTTTCTCCCGATTGTTCCAGAGTGTTTGAACGTGCGTCCTTAGAGATAGATTATAGCAATCTGTAATAGGGAGATTCGAGGTTTGTCGAGTGATTTGCAGGACGCGAGTGTGCAAACAAATTTCATCC